ACATTGAAGGAACTACTTCATTAGCAATTAGAAAAGGTGATATTATTAACACTTTGCTCAAAGTTTAAACATGAACTATTAAACTTGTAAGAGAAAAAGTAAAAAGGTGATCTTTATGCACAGGTTCTGAGTTTAAAGTTTAAAATAAATTAAATTGATCAAGATTCTCTCTTGCATGAATTCAGAGGTCCAATCTATTTTTATTTTTCATCCTTTTTTTTTAATTTGGAATATTATAATGTAGGGTAAATTACACCGTTTCTCGTTGTACTATACTCTCTCTCCTATTTTCCTCACCCAACTTTCAGTATTTATATTTTGCTCATTGAATTTTACAAATTGAATCATTTTGCTCACTCTTCCATCTACAGCGATCGATGGTGGCCGAAATAATCATTCGATATATTTGATGAAAGTATTTCTTGAATCCTAAAGAACTTATGCTTAAAAGAATCTCTTAAAAAATTTATTTAATGTTCGCCTCAAACTAAAAATTCACCAAATCTAATTACTCTTTTTACTAGGTTGTTAATCTGATGGTCGCTCATGGACTAATAATTATTTTATATTATGTTTTATTATCATTTTTGTCTTTATCCATATACGTATCTATGAATCATAAAAAATATCAAATTGATATTTTTCCCAACATTTTAATGGTAATTCTAAAAGAAAATCAAAAATATCAATTTTCTGAAAAATATTATTTGAAAATTATAAAATATTTTAAAATTTTAATTATATGATTTTTAAAAAAAATGAAATTATTTTTTAAAAAATACTTAACATTTCAAATATAATTTCCAATGGCCAAAATCATATTATTTAGTCGTCCTTTCCATTGGGCAATGAGCGATGCATATAATTTTAGTGAATTTTAATTAATATATATTTTACTATGGATAATTACCATCCAACTAATTGTCCTGGTATAGTAAAATTATATATTCAACTTTAATAAGTAAGTACAATGTAGGACCGTTAGCTACGTATGAGTATGCCTCATATACTATGTGATACCATCAAAAAAAAAATTCTCAGCAAAGTACAATTTTTTAAAATAAAAAGAATCGAAGTTCAACCTATAAGCCTCATTAAAAACCTCCCTAATCTAATTGGAGGAAAAGAGTACTTCATAAGAGAACAATACAAAACACATCGAACCAAAAACAGAAACCAGAAACTCAAGTATACCACTCCCTACAAAGTCAACTCTTAACCATCCAAAAGAAGCAAATCAATACAGCCTTCAAAGCACACGAAGGTACAAAAAACAACAAAGTAATTCCAGTCGATAGTTCAACAGTCGAAACCAGTAACTCATACTAAGACACAAAAGCATTTCCACACCATCCACCGCCGGTCACTAGAATAGTTTACGAAGATGATTACACTACCACAAATACTTTGGAATTAAGAACAAGGTCCTTCCTAATGTCACCAAACTTCGGGTCAAGAAAATCTCGACAAACCAAACAATCACTAACCAAGCAACCAAACCACCATCATCTATAAACCAGCAATATAATTACAACACTTACGATCCACTACTTCCAAAGCCTCTGAAACTCAATCCAGCTAGAATAACTCCCCATAAGCAAATTCCACTATCAGCAACGCCGACCACACCCAACTTGCCTCCACATTTAGTACCAAATCTGAATTTAAGCGACAAATCTTCACATAAAAACTGCAAAATAGAACTGAAAATAAAGCTTTCCTCATACCAATACAAAGAAGTAAGAACGGGCCGCATCATATAAGCCTCCAATGAAAATGGATCTTCCATAATAATTCCAGCTAAATAACCTCCACTTGATATTAATCAGATCAGAACCTTATTGACTCCAAAATCCAGCCCTTGAATCGTTCATAACATTACATTAAACAAACACTGCTCTGTTAAACAATGCATTGTCCAAGACCCATAATGCAATCCAGTATGATCGAAATTATAACACCTACCCATATCTTCTAATGATCCTTGAATAAGAACATCTTTCAATCATCTACACTGGACCTCAGAACAAAAACCTCAATTTTCAACGCAAAAAAAAAACCAACTCAACCCCTACAACTCAAACACCAGCCTCAATACATTTCTAACGTCGTTAAATCTTTAACACCTCACTTTCAGGACCAGCAAACACAATACCGAAAATCTAACCTAATGAAAAAGCCGCACACATTTCTTAAAAGAAGAATCTGAAATAGATCTACCAGCAGAATCCAAACCTCTGTCAAACAGCAGCAACACCCTCTGTACTATTCCAGACTCAAAAGATATCAAACAGGTATTACAATAACTAAACTAACGAAAAAACAACCAAGTACTCTTCCCCCACAACCCCCCAGGAATTAACAACCAGGAATTAAACACACAAACTCTCTAAATACACCAAGTATAAGACAAAACCAACATAGTAATGAAGATAAATATAACAGATTAACAACCAGGATAAAACCTCTTTTCGAAAAATCCCCTAATGAAGACATCTAAAATTCAATGGGCTTAGATTGAGATTCACATTCCAATTCCTCCAGGACTATTAATTCCTTAACCAACTTCTCTTCTGAGCCTTTTAAAGCTATTCCTAATTCTCTACCAAGTTGTAACGTTAACATCGCTTCCCTCTTGTTTCTATGGCATCCTGCTTGTATGTCAGAATCAGATAGGGATCTACCTTCAAGTTCATTCATTTCTTCCTCGCTCTGTTTCTTCTTCTGGCTTTTCTTCATTCGACAAGTTCTATTCTTCCTTTGGGTATTTTCGAATTTCTCCTAAATGCTTTGAAGAGAACTGTAGTTTTTATTTTTCCCTACCTTTGCTCTTTGGATCTGCCTGGATTTTAGAATTAAAATATCCTCACTCAACTCTTGACCTTCCTCCCCGTTGATTCTTTTGTTGACAAAATTGTTTGAAAGGTCCATATTAACCTCATCCTCCACAGCCCTAGATCTATTCGACCTTCTCATATCGTCAAGTTTTTAAAATCTTCTGCCACTATCTCCTTATGTTCCACCACTTCCTCGTTTTGCTTGTGAACCTTCCCCATTCCATCATCTTTATTCCTCAGTCTGGAAATTGCTTCCTCGCCAATGTTTCTTTCCTCCTCCTCCTCCTTCTCCTCATACAACAAGTTACCACCTCTAGGAATGATTCCCATACAGCGTACTTGACTGTCATCTTCCTCAAACCACCTTTCAAAATTCTTTTCCTCCGATGAGACCTTACTTGTTCCTGCAGAGAACTCAGAATCTAACACAACCGGACATTTTTTATTTTCTCGCTTAGGAACAGTTGTAACACTTCTGCTTGTGGATTGTTCCACACACTAATTTTAAATATATATCTACCAGCTTCCAGATCAACCGTTTCATCAATGGACTCTTTCATGTCTGTTGCAATAAGAACTGTCACCTCGTCGCATCCCATCTCTTGCATAGCATTTTCTCCCATCAATAAGAATTCACCCATTGTTCTGCCATCCTCTTAAAGGTAACATGGTTCCAACAATGCAGTGGAACTCCAAATAATTTAATCCAAGTAATTCTTTGAGGCGATCTATACAATTCTGTCCAAGGTTGTACATCCAAGAAGACTTTCTTAAGATACAACCAGTTATTCTCCTTCAGTATCCTGAATAACTCATCGTCGTCAATCTCTATTAAGAAGTCTCTCCCTCCCAGGGATTTAGTTCTTATTTCTCCTAGGCCTCCAGCTCGTAGTCTATCTTCCACTTGACTCGAATAACAAACTGACGACATCGTCCCTACCAAGCATTTTTGAAACTTTCGAACAGCATTCTCATCTACTTCCCCCTGAACAATCTTTCTTCTCCTCTTTGCTTGCTCCTCCATGCTCGCTCCAGAAATACTAATCTTTTCTTGTTCTGCCAATGATACAACTTTGGAATCTGATGGCGTATACAATTTCCTGCTTTGGCTCTTATTTTTGTACCTAGCTTCATTGACTGTTAACCGGTATCTGAGAATCCATAAATCATTCAACCTAAGAGATGCTCCATCTGCATCGATCCTGTTGGAGAAACTGACAAAACCAAATCGCTTCCCTGCTTTATCATACTTCCTTGCTATGAACGAGCTCACCACATCTCCGTGCCTACCAAAGAGTTGCCTCAATCCTCTCCAATGATAACTCGGTGGAATATTCTGAACAAACAAAGTTGTTGTTTCGCCTTCCTTCCTCTCCATTTTACTCAACCCGTAGACTAACGATAACAGACTAGTTAACTGTGATTTTTTCACAAACACCTTGCATGCAGAAGTAGCAGTCACAACTTGACTTCCAGAAACGAGCTAATTTAACACAATACCCACACAAAGGAATAGATAAAGAGACATTGAAATATTTGAGCATCAAAAGCTTTTCAAGTGATCTGGGAATAGTTTCGGACAGATTATTCCTCGACAAATCCAGGAATTCCCCCATCAAATTTAATTTCGGTGAATCTGTATATTTTGACAATTTCAAATAAAATTTTAAACTCAGATATTGGATTTAAATAACTAGATTTTATAATGAAAAAATTGTCCAATGCACTAAATGTAACTCAACTATCTTATAATGAGTATTTTGGTCATTTAAACTTTAGAAACTATAAAATGGTCATTAAATTTATTGAATAGTTACAAAATTGATCATTACAACATTATGATTAATTCTAAAAGTTTGATAAACTTAATGATAATTTCGTAATTTCTGATAAATTCTAACGACTATTTTGTACTAGTTTGATAAATTTAATGATTATTTTGTAACCGTTCAAAAAATTTAATAATTATTTATAATTTGTAAAAGTTCATTGACTAAAACGATTGTTTTAACATAATACGGTGACTGTTAGTGTAACTTATCATGAAAAAAAGAGTAAATCTAATAAATAATTAACTTCTTTTGATGGTTATAAATAGGGGTAAAGGCATGCACCAAAACACACACATCGTAAACACATAAAGCATAGATCATCTTACATGCAATGGCAACTAAATCTTTCCATCAACTTCTCGGACCATTCCTTACGGTTCTCGTGTTGCAATCTTTTGTGGTCAAGTGTAGACCTGTGAAATCCGAATCTCCCGGTCAGGGAAGTCATGGCGGTCAACCAACTTCCGACGACTCGTTTCATTCGGACGTTAACAAAACCCTCTTGATTCGGAGATGGAAAACTTTTCCGGTGACCTAAGGCTTCATATCCAGCTCTTCCATCCCTGCATATTTAGATCCTCAAGCAGTGGCTACCGCCATCGATACGGCGTTCCGAAAATGGCAAGCCGCCGTCCCTAAGTTCGCATTCGGAAAGATATATCCAGGCGAGTATGCTAATATCAAAATTGGGTTCACTCCACTAGACGGGTATTATGGTTATGGTTATTATCCACCTGATGGGAGGCTTTACCTGGATAACAGCCACACGAACTGGAGCACAAAATCTTACCCTGCGGGGTACGAAGAAGACCTGATGTCCGGTGCCATGAATGCAATAGGGCATACCCTCGGCCTTGAGGATAGTACCAATCCGAGTGCGGTCATGTACCCTACACTGTATTCTGGAAGTATTAGCGAAGAGGACATGAATCGCATACAGAATTTATACTATTATACGCCACACCTTGAGTTAGGAGAACCTATGTAGGTTTCAAGACCTTGGGAAGCTTGGTTTTTAATTATTGTATTAAATAAGTGATTAGCACAGTTTGGAAGATTACAATATGTAAACGTTAAGGCTTCGATGCTTTGTCATGTATGTCGTCTGCTGGTTTTTAAGTTGCTGTAATTGCATGTGCTACCCTAGTGCATTCCGAAAGCTTCGAAATTACTATGGCATCTCTATTAAGGTTGGGCATGAGACAGGTCGTGTCAATTTTTTTATCATGTTGAATTCGAATCGATATCGATCCAATTCAGCTGTTGGTAATCTTTTATCCGACTTGAATATGAAAAAGATAAATATCTATATTCGATCATTATTTTACCTGGACGCAACGGATTTCAACTTGACCTGACCTGATTTATTATTTTAACAATTCGAGTTTGAGTTGGATTTTCTTAATGGTGGTGCGGGTAGGATTAATGATAAAAAAATTTGATTCGACTTGACTCAACATAATATTATAATTATCTCTTATATATTTAAGGATAATTGTAATAATATTTTTTATATTTTATTTTTCAAATAAATCTTTATTTTATCGAGTAAAAATAATTATATATATTTAGGTTTGATCAAAACGGATGCAATTTTGATTTAAAAATCGAGTCAGATTCCAAGATTTCAAGTATGGGTGAATGAGTTTAATTTTAGAGTTGAGTTCGAGTGAGCTAAAATCCTTACCTAACCCTGAACATCCATATAACTCTCACTCAGCACAATTAATTTTTTATTTATTTTTATTACAAAATAGGAAGATAATTAAAATATATATTAGAATTATTATAGTAATTATATTAAATATGTAGGGGGAAATATACTATTATCTCAAGTCATATCAGATTTTTTTTTCGCAAATCTAACTAGGATCAACCCAAACGTAAATTTAAAAAACAAATCTTACAAAATTAAGTCGAGTTAAAATTTTGAACAATTTTACTATCCCAGTCTCTACTCTGTACCGGTATATAAGAAGAAAAAAGGGGGGAGGGATATAAAAAATGCATAACAAATGGAGCCATGGCCATGTTTGAAGCATATAAATGCTCGGTCCACATCTTCACATCTATGTATAGAACTAATATCCCATCATTAATTTAAAAATTATTTTTTAATATATTCTAAGAAACCAAAGTATTTCTACATCCTCATTAATTTCTGGCTCTATCTATTTTGTTTCTAATTCAATCTCTCAATGACGATGAAGTTGTATGGACTTGCAATGTCCACATGCACCTCCAATGTTATAGGCTGTCTCCACGAGCATGGTGCAGAATTTGAGCTCGTCCCTGTCAATCTCCAAAATGGTGAACACAAACAGCCTGCTTTCCTTGCCAAGAATGTAATTATCCATATTCCGTTTTATTTATTTTTCTGCTGCGTCTTTAAACCATGGCTCGTATCCTAAATTTATTTATGAAAGTATATGCAGCCCTTCGGTCAGATCCCCGCACTAGATGATGGCGACCTAACTCTCTTTGGTAAGTTCTTTCAAAATGAGTCTGTCCTATTTAAGGAGGTTCATGGATCGTCGGGTCAAGTTGGTTCTAGTTTTTGACCTATTTGAATTTAATCTAAAAAATAAACCTCTTCACTTTTATCCGATTTAACTCGAAATTTAAGAGGATGATAGGACTATAAACGAGTCGAGTCGAGTCGAGTTTAAGTATTGTTGAGCAACTCGAAAACTCTAAAATGGAGTTCGACTCATCTCGAAAACCCGTGAGCCTAAATTTTCAACCTCGACTCGAACTTGAAATCATGAATTGAAACTCAAAAAAGCTTGCCAAAGCTCAAAATAAAAATATCTTGAACTTAACTCGGTTAAAGCTCAAACTCGAACATAAACCTTAAGTACATGAAAACTTTATATTCTACTACATTTTAAAAAAAACACATAAATGTTTAATATTATTAATAATTTAATATTTTTAAAATAAAAATTTTAATATATAATTTTTTTAAATTGCTCGCGAGCTTTTCGAGTCGTGTATCAAGTAGTTTACTTCGTCTCGTTAAGAACTCATGTCGAGTCCATTCGAGTTGAGTATTTATCGAGCGTTGACTGAGTCGATCTTGAGTTGCTCTCGACATGTCTCGTCTCATTTACTGCCCTAGGAGGATCCCACCTAATCAGAAATCCAACTCAACTTTTTAGTTCAAAATTCACACTCGTTCCAACTTTTATATATATATTAGAACTTAATTGAAAGAAATAAAAAGGGTGTTATAATATCATGTCGGATCATATTTTCTCACTGTCAACTCGAATCTTAACCTTAAAAAATTTAATCTAATCCGAATTCAAGCTTTAAAAATAAATAACTGGTCCAATTAAATCGAAATCCATCAAATTCATGTGAAATGCGGATCCTAATTCTACCTTAATTTTGTTTCATTAATTTTTATATGTACCCTTGAAAAAAACAAGAATCCAGAGCAATCTCAACATACATGGCTGAAAATTCAAAGGAAGCAGTTGTGATCTTCTGAGAAGCCAAAACCCTAAAGAAGCTGCACTGGTGAAGACGTGGATGGAGGTGGAATCCCAGCAATTCAGACCCGCGATCAGCCCGATATTCTACCAATCCATCATCGTGCCCATCATGTACGGCGGCTCACCAAACCAAACGATCATCGACGAGACCTCGGCGAAGTTAGGCAAAGTATTGGATGTGTACGAGAAGAGGTTGAGCAGCAACAAGTACCTTGCCGGAGATTTTTATAGCTTGGCCGATCTGCACCACCTCTCTTATATATACTATCTGATGAAGACTCCGTATGGGAAACTGATCAACGAACGCCCTCGTGTTAGGGCGTGGTGGGAAGATATTTCTTCCCGACCGGCTTTCAAGAAGGTGGCTGCCGATTTAACTTTGGGTGACAAAAACTAGTGTCGGATAAATCGTCGGTGAAGATAAAATCCAGGGCTAGGGTTAGCCTATTGAAGTAAGGGCATTTTGCAGTCAGTAGTTGAAGTGTTCACTGTTTCATTTCTTCTTTGAAAATAATTAAACGTTTCATTTAATAAAAGGATAAAACAGTGATTGATTGATCCAAGCTCATTAATATGGCGTCTTTGAAGATATGATAAATGGGAAAATGAGTTAATTGAATGGTTGAATATTATTTTATTATTTAAATTTTTTAAGTAGATAATAGCAACCTACTCTTAGTTTTATCATGTAAAGTCTAGATGTGTGAATATTATGATCAAGTGGATGATATAATCTCTCTCTAAAAATATATTTAAGGACGGTTTGGAACTATAAACCTTGTATCAAAATCATAATAAAGGACTGAGATTAGAGTCTAGCATTTGCTATGTCCCACTAGATCTTTAATTTTTTTCAACAAATATAATTTTATTAAAATCATCATAAAGTATTGATTAAAGAAAAATGTCTCGTTAAAAATCTCTAAATCTATATGAAAGAAAAAAATATATTAAAGAAGAATGTCTCGTTAAATATCTCTAAACCTATATAAAAGAAAAGAATACATTAAGGAAAAATGCCTCATTAAAGATCTCTAAATCTAGAAAATTTTAACGAAATATTCTTCCTTAATCAGGATTTTAAGAAAAGAGTACATTAAAAATCTCTAAATCTATATGAAATAAAAAAAACGTACATTCACCCAATAAACTATAAGATCTTAAAGTCTTTATTATCTATAAGATCTTAAAGTCCTTATTATCTTTAGGATCATATTATGACGGGTGTTGAAGCATGGCTTATCTATTGTTGATGGAATGGTTAAATTTCTAAGGGAATATTCTTTATTAAGTAATATGTGCTTTCGTGTTCTAGAGAATCCAAACTCCAATAATTGGAGAAAAAAGTTGATTTGTTAGAGAAACCTTCTTTTTAATTGTTCCACGATATAATGATATAGTTGACATTTTATGTCCGTAACACATGCATAAAATTCAATCTAAATCAAAATAAATATTTTTGTCTAAAATTTTATTGTTTGAATGAATTGATTAAATAAGTCACATAATTTCATTCTATAGAATGAATGAATGAATTATAATTTAAATAATAACATGTTTAGACGTTCCTAGGACTCTCGGGTCAGAGTCAGTAAGAGTCTATGAATATACATGCCTCTAGGGAGTTAACAGTACTTTTGTGTATGAAATAATGATAGATACTCCTCGTTATTGTTTTAGTTTCAGAGTTTTAACCAAGGACAAAGAGAGAGTTCTGGGGAGGAAAGATGAAACATCGGGTACTACCTCTGGTTAGGATAGAGGAGTGGATGAGTCCTCTAGACCACCCCAATCATCCAAGAGGATGAGGGATTCTCAGGGGTCATAGAGAGCCCTAGCTAGTCAGTCTAGTAGACCAGCTCAGAGTATAAAATTAGTACAGAAATCATTGTCATAATACTATAAATAATTATAATAAAATTAGTACAGAAACTCTAATAACTCGACTCGAATAAACTCGAATTTCTTAAACTCGATTCGACTCAAAAAATTTCAAGTTAAGTTAGACTTGTAAAATAAGATTCTTCAACTCGAATAACTCAAAAAAAATTTACTCAACTCGATCGAATGCTCACTCCTACTATAAAGTATAATAAACCAAACCATTTCTACCCAGGGGTAGATGCACTCAGCCCCATTCTGGGCTAAGTGTATCCCATTATTTAAGAGAAAGGGTAAAATTAGTTTAATATAATAAAAAAATATAAAAATAAAATAAAATTTTTGCATACTCATTATTTTTAAGAAAATAATATTAAAATTTTGAATTCTTTAATCTTAAATTTCTAGATTCGTCATTGATTCTACCTATTTTTCGCAGTTTTCCAAGGTGTGATTTGTATCAAATGAAACAATATTACCATTTGTCCTTCCTTACTTTTTCATTTCACCTTTATTATATAATATATATTAAAATAGGAGAACTTGATATAATATATATTAAAATAGGAGAACTTTATGGTACAATCTCTTATTATAAGGCTAATTA